ATTACTCTGAACAAGGAATCCTGGTGGTTTTAGTTAGTCTGCTTTCAGTTTTTTACTGCAGCCAATCATGTTTTCAACTAGGGTACCAATTCACTTATAATTCACTAATTTATTTGCTTATCTACCAAGTTTTTGTTTGGAGATCGTTTTACTTATCTGGTTTTTATATTAGATGTCTCATTTTTGGCACAAGTTCTTATAGTAAACATGTAAAATGACTACTTTCATATTACTGCTTGTCTGCTCATATTAAACAAGAGTCTTACAAACATTCCATTTTCGCTCATTTACGTCCTCGCTCGAAGCATAAATCTTACAAAAATCATCCACACTCGCACAAAAGAAGTTCGTACCAATATACGAAAACCAGTATCAGTTAGTTATTAGGCTAAATTCAAAGGTAAAGAAGAAGCATGATCAGTTCTTTTTCCGTTTTCACTTTGAATCCAACCATCTCAAATCAAACACACCAACGGTACCTAGTCATGGCTAAAACCTCGCTCCGGTCAGGTTTTGGGTCGGAATCGTCAATTCCGGGACGAACTTTTGGGGGCCCTGAATGGCCTTATTTGGAAATTTGTAATGGTTTGTTGCTGCTGAATGATGAGGGATGGTGATCATTCAGGAAATTACCACCATCCCTCATCTATTTGCAATGGTTTGTTGCTGCTTTTGTTACCAGGATCATATGATTACGGTACAGGGGAAACGACAAAGCCTCCAGGGGAGGCTTTGTGGAACCCGACCACAGGGGAATTCAAAATCCTTCCTCTTCCACCCTCATACTTCGACCCCAGGTACCAATACTTGTTTAACTAATAATTTAATTTCTATGATGGAACATGTGTCTACCCTTAACGGAATCATCCCGTGGGAGTTATAACCGTTGGAAACACCGATGGCATAGTTCCATAACGGGACCATAGCATTTTCCTAAAATAGACTCAAGTGGATGGATACTTATCAGTCAACTTTTTCATATAACAAATCATCCTAACAACCTTTTCAAGGTGTGTGAAGAAGTGCTCCGGTTATTTTGGTTTCGGGTTTGATTCGGCATCTGAGGTTTACAAGGTGATAAGATTGCTGACGCTCAATGCTGAACGTTACCCGCACACTCCAGCTGTGATGGCCGAACTATATTCCCTCAGAACTAATTCATGGAAACAAGTCAGCGTCGTTCATCCTTCAAATATTCCACAACACTCTGGTGTTCACGTAAACGACACTTATTACTGGTTAAATCGCTCCGATCCCTGTTTTATCGTGTCTTTCGACTTTGCTACTGAGAAGTTTGCGTCCTCTGTTATTCCTGCGCCCCCGAGTGACAAGCTCAATGAAAGAAATACATATGATAATGTCAAAGCTCGTGGAATATTGTGGGTTGCTCGGTGCTATGGTTATCTCGGGTGAGGACACGTGGCCAAGATCACTAGAGAAAATGCGTAGCTTGAAAATTTGGGTTTGGGATGGCTCGTGGTCTCTGGTGTCCACGCTCAGCGTCCCTAGTTCTGTGGGTGATTTATATATCCTCGTTGGGACTGATAATTTAATTTTTTTGGACAATAAAGGTAAACCGATGCTTTTCGATTTTGCAACGAGCAAGTTGGAGAAGATACGAGATCTGCCTACTTATAACGAGGCGTTATGTGTCGCAGCTCACGTCTTTCCTTTCGTCGAGAGCTACTTTTCGCTCGATGGATGAATAAGTATGTTCCGCTCAACTCAGTTTGCTTATTGTTAATAGTTAGTATGCTCTCTGGTTGTTTGATGTTTGGGTATAAGATGTTTTAATTTTATTTGGATTTCTTTATTTTTGTTTGATTAATTTTGAAACAGGTGGTAATGAATAATTGTTAGTGAGATTTTGAGTTTATTATAAAATAATTAAGTTGATTTTATGTAAAAGTAAGAGATAGATAATGTTAACTGATGGTTAGTTAAAATTATGTGAATTAAAACAATTAAAATGACTTCTTTCAGCTCATATTGAACAAGAATATTTCGTTCATTTACTCGAAGTAAAAATATTTTACAAAAATCATCCACACACAACAGAAATTCGTACCAATTCAAAGGTATGGAAGAAGCATGATCACTTCTTTTTCCCTTTTCACTTTGAATCCAGCCATCTCAAATCAAACACCCCAACGGTACTTAGTCATGGCCAAAATCCAGTTCCGGTCAGGTTATGGGTCGGAACAGTCGATTTCATACCCTTTTTTTGGGTTACCCTGAACCGGCTCTATTTGGAAGTTTGTATTAATGATATTGAATTCAAATTTCAAACACTATATTAAAAAATAAGACAATGTTTTTTTTTATGAAAAAAAATATTGAATCAGTTCGATTTGTTTAGAATATTCAAACATATTCGATTCGATTCAAAATTCGTTTTTATAAAAATATTATAATTAAAAAATATATAATTACAAAAATATTGTTTATATTTTTCCTATCCAATTTGAGATGTTTTTAGGGTAAATTATTATTTTAGGATGTTTTTTACTTTTTATGTCGTAAAAATATTAGGAATATAACAATATATATATATATATATATTAAACAAAATTTATACTATATATAATTTTTATAATTTATATAATTGTCCTTAAGAAATAAAGTATCAATTAATTTTGAATTGAATAACTACAAATTTGAATTCGAATTCGTTTAACTTTTCGAATATAAAACATTATTCGTATTCGAATTCGAATATTTAATTCGAATCACGAATATCAAATCGAATAAAAAAAATCGATTTGTTTACAAGTCTATCCTCAGGTATGTATATCATTGCACAACCATCGTTAGACTCCATATAGTTCCATCTCCAATGCTAGTTATCCAATCAATAAACCGAGCAATCTCATCACGTTTCAGTCTGAAACTGCAAGGCTTTAAATAAAATAAGTTCAAACGCAGGTTTTACCTTGTAACAAAAATATTTGCGAGCGAACAAAATAATTGAGTGTAAGTTTGATAACAGTCGGGGTAGGATCAGGAGAGTCGTCGCTACTCTCAGCCTGGACAATGTTTTTATAGAGAGGATGGCGTAGCTTCCTCTGCGATAACAGCTTGGAACAAGAGAAAATCATTGTCTTCAATAAAGTCGGCATCGACATGTTTGAAGTTTTTTTTTTGGATGACAAAAAATGTGAAAAAAATCGTTCCTTCTGTGGGAAATCAACCAGTTTAATATGTAATATCATTAAATGTTATAAAATTCAAATACTTATTGTCAAAATCAGTCTTTTTATTTATTTTATGGCAATTGCGTCTTGACTTTATTAGTTTACTCACATAACATGATATATTAAAAAATTATTATGTGCTTTTTATTTGCATATACGCAGGTTCATTTACCAACTATCTGCAACTTATCGCCTAATACGTAGCATAAGTTATCGCGTAATATGTCTGAAACTGCTCAATTATCATTGTCTGTCTATCGCATAATTTATAGCATAATGAAATCATACTTACTTAATTATCTTTTTTTATAAAATATTAACTATTCGAGTATTAATCGCAGATAACGAATTTACCAAATATGCAATTTCAAATAAATTAATTTGCAATTAATCATGTATATAAAGTTTCGCCTAATCATCGTATATCGTAATAGAAAAATAAAAGAAATGGTTATGCGGATCACAGTCTGATGTATATTTAATAAAGAAATAAATATAATGATTTTGCTATTTGATATTCGTATTCCTTTGACAGTTTGTCGTAGCGTATCTGAAACTTTTCAACTACTTTTTTTTTGTATTAAGTAATAACTATGCGAAACATATGCGTTAGAAAAGATGTCGAGTATTAATCGCTGAGTACGAATTTACAAAAAATAAATTTAAATTATGCGTATAAAAATTTGCCTAATAACTGCACAAATTAATTAAAAAAATAAAAAAAATTGTTATAACAAAAATGTTTTGCAACTAAAATGTGATAGAACCCGCGATTGATCAAATTGTTCATCCATATATGTATATATATACGTCGCCTATACGTCACAAAATTTATCACATAATGTTTACATACTTGGTTAATTATCTTAATCTTTATGTCGCATATTTTATCGCATGTTTATTTCACACTTGGTCCACTTAATAATCTCCGCTTGTGTGCCGCGTGGTTTATGTTTATCGTATAATTTATTTCACACTTTATCATTTATTTCCGTCTTATCGTCGTATAGTTATCGCATATATGTTTCACACTTTATCGATTAACTTTGTATTTCTCTCGCATAAGTTATCGCATAATATTTTCCGTACTTTATCAACTATATTCCTCTTTTTATCGCGTGGTTATCGCATAATATGTTTACACTTTTTCATTTATCTTTGCATTTTAATTTGTTGCATAGTTTATCGCATAATATGTTTCGTACGTTATCAATATCATATTTCATTTCGAACTTTATCAAATATCTTCATTTTTGTCTCATAGTTTATCTATTAAATTGTTTCGCACTTTATCAATTATTTTCGCATTGTTGTGGCATAGTATCGCATAAGTTCTTTCTCACTTTATCAATTATTTACGCATGTCTGTCGCATAGTTCATCGTATTAGCGTTTACGCACTCTATCAATTATTTCCATCTGTCTATCGCATATTTATCGCACAAATTTTTCACATTTTATCAATCATTGTCGTCTATCTGTCGCATACCTCATCCCATATTTGTTTTGCACTTTATCAATTATCTGTCTGTCGCATAGTTTATCACATAAATAGTTTGTATTTTATCAATTATCTTCGTTTGTCTATGCATAAATATTTCACAATTTATCAAATATCTTCAATTGTACATCGCAAAGTATATCGCATAATTTATTTCGTATTTTATGAAGGTGAAAAAATTAACTCATTTTATTATTTACACTAAAAAAACTTAATACTATTTTCAGGATGAAAATAATTATTTTGCACGTATTATTTTATCGCACGCACAGTTGGGGAATGAAAAGACAGGTTTGGTAAGGTTATATGCTCCTAGAAAATTCCCAAATATATGATCAAAACACAATTAGTACCACCATTCACAGTTCAGACATCTCCCCGGCTCGCCATCCGCCGTCCGGTAAGTGCTCACTTTTGATTTTAGTATTGTCGTTAGGTTATTATGATGCTTGCCCAATTGTATTTACTAATGAATGACTAATTGGCCGCGAGCTTTATTTTGGAACCTTGTTTGTGTAGTTGAATGTTTGGGATGTCGAGCAAAGAGGAAACGATGGTAGTGAGATTGGGAATGTTCACGAGGAAACTTAGAAGCTAAATTTTGTTTTATCTCAAGAATGTAGTCAATATGTTCGATGAAATTCCGAAGTGAATCTGAGTTCTGAAACTTTTTTTTCCCCTTAAAACCCTAATTTGTTGCGTGATTGCACATATTTCGTTTGCAGAATTCTTAGTTGAACTGTTTTCGATTATCTTCTTAGTGCGTGGAATTCATTTCTTTGTGCATTTTAACCGAAATTCTCAGTTAAAATTTCATAATTTGATTAATATGAACTTACAAAAGACTTTATGGTCTTCTTTTGAGTACCTTTGGTTCTTGATTGTAGTTCAGGGTTTGAAAATGGGCAGCAGCTCGTCAGAAGCCGAGTACAATGCCTTCTTGAAGAAAGTTCAAAGGACAATCTATGTCGATAACTTATCCCCCCAAGTTACTGAAATGGTCATGAGGGCTGCTTTCGAGCAGTTTGGGGAAGTGGTCAGCATTCAATTCATCCAGAACTATTTCGAGCCGAAAAACATGCCTGTAGCCGCACTGGTCGAGATGGAGAGCCCAAAGCAGGCCCAAGCTATAGTGGGCCAAATGGAGAACTACCCGTTCATGGTGTTGGGCATGCCCAGGCCCATCAGGTCCCGACCTGCTAGACCAGAGATGTTTGAAGACCGCCC